GGAAAGGAAAACCGGTCACAAGCCAGGGCCCAGCACATCAGGATGATTTTCCGCCCAAGGGAAGAGAGAGAAAACGGATCCGAAGACGAAGATAATGTATAGCTATTGATCTCCCAGCTGGTATTTCTCACTCCGGGTAGAACGCCAGGACGACCGGCAGCGGGAGGGGAGGGATGGATGGGTTGATTGCGAGGCTAGCTATGGGAACGCAGCGCGGCGTAGGGGCTGGCTGGCAGGGCGGACGGGCCGGGTGGGCCGGCCGGAAGGTCATTTTGCGCTGGCTTGCTTGCTTGCGTTGCTTGTTTGCTTCTACACTCTTTCTTAAAAGTTCCGGGCGCGCGCGCACACACACTCGCATCACACTGCTACTACACTACGTACACATATTTAATGATAATACCCGTTTGGACAACAGCGCCGCTTCTTTTTTTCTTCTTTTTTTGCGGGCATCTTTCGAGACGGCGCTGCCGGCGGCGTGGTCGTCTGTGGAGACAGATTACACCGCATACATACATCGACGTCTGCGGCGTCACGGCGCGGCTTAACTAGGTATATAGGTGGGCAAGCATGGTATCGGCGCAGCCGGTTGGCGCTGGAAGGGAGGTTGGGGGGAGGCTTTCGGTCATCTGCGGTTTGGCGGCGCTGTGTTTTGGTAAGGCGGGAACGGCTTGATTGAGGCCCGAGCGCTTGGGTGGTAAGTATGTGGCGTGGTGTGGTGGATGGTGCGGTACGTTGTGATGTAGTGGTGTGTTACATGAGTGAGGTGGAGTGTGGTGTGGCGCGGGAAGGATTCAGCTGCATGGTGTTATGGTGTGTCATCTATTCTCGGGTACCCGTCGCCATTGCCGAACTGGAGGGTGTTTGACTGTTTGGACAATGGGATATGGTGTGAGTTAGCCATTTACAGTACAGTTCACAGAGTCCATCATGCACAGGAGTACATTGGAAAGACACGGGGCACAGACTGATGTGTGAGGGCTACTATACGCGGGCCCCAAATTTTGAGCTCAGTTTCTGAATATTGAATCCTGAGACACCATTCTTATTTGTGATATTCTTTTGTCAACCAGGCAGCCACAATGTGGTTTCGTCATGAAGCACAACCAAAAGCTCTAGACCATGGGGGTGTTGAGCGTTTCGAGTACTTGAATTGCTATTGCAAATCAGGGTCTCTCCGTGCAACTCTGCGCAACACGCACAGCCCGAAACCTCAGCCGACCAAACTGTCGCACAGCATTGGAATCTCCAAGCGACGCTTGGACCCAGCCAGGTAGACATTGACAATTGCTTCGAGAAACATTCGAAGACCTGGTTCAGCCAATTTGTGTTGTCGTTCTCTTCCCAATCAGAGATATTCCTGATGCTTTTCCTCCGAAAGCTTAAAATCTCATCGGAGCTAGCTGATGAGGTGTTGTCAGCTTCATCTTGCCGGGTTGGGAAGATCAGCTGCTGACGAAACAGGTGAGACGACTGCTTTGGGACTGCTGGTGGCCGCATCCGAAATGACCGGTTCATGCCATGGGCCGCGTTTGCAGGTCGCACGATTGACTGTGCTGGCGCCCTTCAACGACGAGGATTGCCCTTCTACGTGGGGAATGAACGACCCGCTTCAGCTTGAGTCGTAAACAATCGTCATTTGAATTTTGGCCGGGCTATCCTTCGACCAGAACGGCGTGTAAGGGTTTCGCCGTTTTCCCAGTGTTTCTGGTGTTTTGGTTGAGTGACAGTCAGGCACATCAAGGACCCGAAGACAATGCAACGTATTTCAATGACCAATCAACAGCAATGGATGCGAGCGGCCCGCAAAGTGGGTCTTGTCTCAAGGCTACTCGATGACTGTGATTCGTCCTCATTGACCCTCGTCGCTCGTCTCATCCCCATCGAGAATCCACTTTTTTTGTGCCCCTGGGAAATGGAGCTTTCGATCTCATGTTCGAAACCGGTCCACCACTGGTGGGAATGCGACATCGCGTCAGGCACAGAAGACGGAAATTCCCGCAACTCCGACGGGGTTGTGAGTAGAAGGCCGATGATACCGCCGCAAAGGAAGAACCAGTCAACCAGTCGAGGCCTGACAGCTGTCTGTTTTTCCAGCTTCATTCAGCTGAGACATGCTTCGGGCCCTGCAGCCACCCCGGGACACGGTAACGCCAACACACACACACACACACACACACACACACACACACCGCACGCACACAATGGGGCAGCGAGTCATCCTCTTCTGGAAAATCTGGTTGGAGTCCAATTGGGTGCCTTTTGCGGCGAACATGCACGGAAAGCATGGCGGTGACCACGCCTGCAGTTCCCGCCTCGTGCGGCAATGCCATCATGCGGAGCCTGGGCAGAAGTGCAGGTACACGAGTTAGTTTTCCTATGTAAGCTAACCAGCTATTCCCAAGCTAGGTATTCTGCGCGGCACAGCGATCGAACCATCGAATTGTCATTGTCTGTTAGAACCCCCAACCACCCCGTCAGTGCCGCTCTCCCTGAACAGCTGCTGTGTGTTGTCAATTGGAAACAGCCCTTACCGCGTCTGGACGGCGGGATCTCAAATGACGGCAAATTCCAGATTCGGGGCGTGTCGGGATCTCTTTGTCTCTCGCTTGATGAACCAACAGAGCCGCCGACGGAAACAATGCAGCGATGGATGCAACCATCCGCCTTGATCGACTGCACCCCAACCACACAAAATCCCCACATGGCGTCGATGGTTGCCAGGGCCACCCCGACCTGGACCCCTGGCGAGATTAGCGGTGCATGGAGGTGCAAGTCGACGGCCCAATCCCCAGCCTCGATCCTTCCGTCAGCCGCTCACAATCTGTCATCCCATTCGACATCGCGACAACAGGGCCAAAGCGCTCCGTCAATCATCGCGCCCGGGGGGCTGACTTGGCAGCCCTAGGGGTCCTGTGGGAGGGCTGTGGGGTGTGTGTGTGAGTGAGTGTTTGAGGGTTTCGATCGAGGGAAAGAGAAAATGAAATAATGCTCGTCATGGCGCGCTCCATCGGAGCCTTCTCTGTGTCCACCATGTTAGTACCCGCTCCACGATCGCGCTTCCAAGGTTCTTAAGTTGCGCCAACCCCCCCCCCCCCCTCAAACGACTTTGACTTTGCTGTGTTGCTGCGTCACAACATCGAACCAGTCGAGTCCACCCAACACTGCGGCACAGTCGTCTCAAAGTGGGCTATTTCTGCATCCGTCAACGCCGCAACGATCTGGTCGAAATCGGGCAAACAACTCGAAACAGTGACACTCGTTGTCGCCGCTTGCGTGGCTAAGCGCCGTCCACTCAACCCCACGGGCCGCCTCCATCTGCGCATCACCACGGCGCTTCCGGGTCTTTCTTGAGATTCCCATTGGCTGTACGCCGTAGCCCTTCATTCACAAAGACGACTGCCACGTTGGTTAGTCGCTCGTCTCGCGTCTCTTCGTACCCTGGTACCACACCCCGGGCCGGTCGTTCCAGACGCTCAAGGCAGCTACACACAACTTGTTCCACTTTATAAGAGATCCTGCTGCGCCATCTCGAGACTGGGTCCTCTGAGGCGCAACAAGTCCACGTTCCATCAAGATGGATCCCACCACCACGCTCTTTACGTTCATGCTGTAAGTTCTTTTTGAACACGCCTGTTTCTCACTCGTTTTTCATTTTGGTTCTCCGACCATCCGTTCGCTGCCCAGTCTGGCCCTGTGCTTGCTTGCTCTCTTGGTATTATCCGGTCACTCTTTCTTTGGACATACCTAGCCACTCTTTCTCTCTTATTGTCTTCCAACTGTACGTCTTGGTCTTGGTCCGGATTGGCGGCGCATTGTTCAAAAGGATTGGCTCTGCTCCCGAGACTGTCGAGTGTGGTCTCACCCGAGCCCTCGCAGTTCAAGGGCGCATTCCTATCCCGACACGGCACCGCCGGGCCACGCAATGTCTTACCCTCCAACCAGAAAACTAACACGAAGCAGACGAACACCCCCTTCAATCAAAGCCGTACAACTTATCGGATCTTGGGACAACTTCACCAAAAGCTACACCATGGAACGCGATAGCCGACGGGACCGTGGCCAATGGAAGGGTTGCTACACCTTCAAGGATATCACGTGTGAAGGGGATGCCGGGAGCATACCGAAACGGGATGGAGGCCTAAAGATGGGTCACACTTACTACTACTACGTAAGTGCCACTTCCCGATCGAGACGGACCTGAGTCACTGACCGAGACATATATAGTACGAACTCGACGGCGCTTCTGAGGCTCATGATCCCTCCCAGCCGTCGACGAACACTTGCCCATATCTTCCTGGGCAGACCGTCAACACTCTTTGGATTCCTGTCGAGCAGTCGCAGAGGAAACGCAGCGCCTCGCTGACCTCGCTGCACGAGGCGGACTTCAAGACGATGGACCCGGCCAGCAAGTTCATTTCCCCCAGGCCAGCGCCAACCCCCCCAGAGCCGGCTCGTCGGCTTGGAACTGCGCCCCTCCGGATGCCGCAGCAGACGCGCCCGTCCAGGTCACCATCACCGAGCACCCGCTGGCACTTCTCAGCTCGGAAACTTTTCAGCCGCAAGTCGAGCTCGTCTTCGCTCAAGGACATGCAGATTCCGCAGGCGGAATTCGAAAGGGCCCCCAGGTCTGAAGGCAGCAGGTCAAGGGATATCTCGCCTGAGTCGCTACGCAGGTTCCTCGTCGATGACGCCCCGCTCGAGCACGAACAGGAGGACAGCAATGCGCCGGCGATCGATATACCAGAGGACATTGTCGAGGAGAACGAGGATGACGACAACTTCGCCACCTCGGCCGTCTCGGAAACTATGCAATTCACTGGGCTGTCCCCGCCCCCGCCGCGCACCCTCTCCCCGGCAATGACCATCGCCTCCGTCGACGACGCCGTTGCCGAGGCACCCGCCAGTGCCTACCTCACCATGCCGCCTGCCCCCACCCGCACACCACCCCGACTCCCCACCCTCAACACCACACTGCCCGCCAAGCACCACCCCTCTTTCCCGCTCTCCGCCCTCTGCCCGGAGTCGCCCGACTCCGCCTCCCCGCCGGGCTTCTACATCTCAGACGCCGACGTCGACGACGACGACTACGAGGAGGACGAGGACGTCCTCGCCCCCGCCCAAATCCAGAAGAACCCTTTCGCGCGGAACATCACCGCCACCTTGTCGACGTACTCGCTTCCGCGCACCGCGGGCACCGACGCCGGCAAGCTGGCTACCCCCGCCGCTGCCGCTGTGGGCCAGCAGCCGGCGGTGCCGGGGTCGCTGATGCTTACGAGCCCCATCCCGGATGCCGGGCTAGGGGAGCTGGTTACGGAATTGGGCTGGATGGCACAGGCAATTGGGGGGCGCTATGCCTAATTTAACTTTCCGTTTTGTGTTTTACTTTTTACTTTTTGGGTGTCTTTGAGCGGGATACATGGCAAAATAGATTTTTTGGGGTCTGGTTTGGGGCCTGGTTTGGGGTTTTGCATACATACATAGCATGGGAGCGAGCGGGGTACCCGGTTTTGATAAGATAACTGGAGTCTTGTCCCGGTTTCTGTTGTCCTTTTGGTTTCTTTTGAACTAGTCTCAGGGAGTGGGGATGGGGAGGGGGGTCTGGATTGTGATGAAAAAAGGAATCATGTTGGATCTGCGAGATGTCCACGTGGAAAGTGAATGATGAAATGGCGGTTGATTAGCACCATGGGTGATGCTAAGTGGATGGGATGGCCGCTTGCCATGGGGCAATGCACGCAGATAGAAGTCTAATCAACTCCGACGCCTACTTGGCTGTCTGTCCACCTCTTTCGTTTCTCCCGCGCCCCTACCTGTCTGTGACCCAGTCCTCCAACCTCGGAGATGAACCCTTCCCAACGAGGACATATCTTTCCCTCGAGCCCTGAACCCATCAACAAACCCAAAACACCCCCGACACCAAAAGTCTACCACACCACCTGACCCACGAATATGTAATCCCCATCTCAAACCCCCCAGCCATCGCTGCCTACTCCAACCGAACCAAACCAAACCAAGCCCACCCGAACCGAACCCACCCCATCGCGGTGACATCGTTAGAACTCATTCCCCAATACGACGTCAGCACTCTCAGTGGAGAATACAAGCGGAGCAAAAAACACAGCCACACACACAATGCTGGCTGCTAGCTGCTAGGCTCACGCTCGTTGCAGGTCAGCCTGAAACGGCGTAGTCAGACGACTGTGACTGTGCCGCACGCTAAGCCCGTTCGTCTCATCGTTTTGGACTGGTTTTTTTTTTTTTTTTGCTCCTGCGGGTGTGCATGGGTGGGCTGGTTGGTGATTGCCTTGGTTTTGGGGAGGGTTTGTTTACTTCGCCCCTTTTTGAGGGATATTTTTTGGGGGAGGAAAGAGTGGTCAGCGGGTTGGTGGTTAATCAGCATGTTCACAATTGACTGTGAATCAACAATTGCGTTGAGAAGTCTAATAAGGTGTACAGAAACCATGTTGCTGTATGTATAGTACATGTCTCTATTTCGTAAAATACGTACAATCCCTCAACTTACCCCCTCGTCAAACATTGGCCTCCCAAAACCTCTCGGCCAGCTGCTCCCCCATCAGCCCCTGCGCATACGCCAGATGCCAGAACCGATGTTTCCAATACCTCCTCCCCTCCCCGCCGCCCTGCACGACACCCACCTCGTCAGCCGTGCCAATCTTGCGCGCGGCCTCCACGACCCGCACGGCAGCCTCCCCGTCGCCGACATCCACCACTGCCCGCAGCAGGTCGTAGAGGGTGCCGAAGGTGATGGTGCTGTTGCCGTTGACGAAGACGCGGTCAAATATGTACAGGGCGCGGCGGACTTCGCCGGCCTGGGCAGTAGCCCCTTGATGACGCACTCCCAGAAAGACGCGGTCCGATACCTCTTGTGTGTCGCTGGCAGGCGCCTGTTCTCGATCAGGGCAGTGACGGCAGCCGAGTCGGGCGGGTCGAGTGAGAAGTAGTGCTCCGCCAGCATGGCTGTAGATGTGCGAGGTCAGCTCGAGGCCGCGGCCCCAGATTTGGGCGAGCACGGCCTTGACGGGCTCCTCGGCGCGGTCGCCCTCGCGGAGGAGTATGTGGAGGATCTTGGCGTAGGCCTGCATGTTGATCTCGACGCCCGCGGCCTTCATGGCCTCGAGCATGCGCTCGACCAGGGAAACTTGCTGCGCCGGGGGCAAGTTGCCGATTTGGTTGAGGGTGCCCTCGAGGAGCACGGTGAAGGTGGCAACGTCGGCGCGGATGTTGGTGCTACGCATGGCATCAAAGATCTGGTCGATGCCGGCCATGTCGCCGCGGCGGACAAGCGGCCGGAGGAGGGTGTTGAAGGTGTATATATCGGGGTCGATGCCCCGTTTAGCAGCCCAGGCGAGGACGCGTGTGGTGTCCCTCTCGCGGTCTTTAAGGCGGATAAGCCCAGAAAGGACGGCGTTGACAGCCTCAACGGAGGGTTGGACGGCCACGGCGGCGTAGCGAGGGTCGGAACGGGCGGCCCAAATCTTGGCCATCTCGTCGAGCGCACGGAGGCCGGCATCGGGTTCGCCGCAGACAAAGAAGCCGTTGATGCGGGCGGCCCATATAGTTGCATCCAACTTGATGCCCGAGGCCACCAGCTTGTCCCAGACGGTCCTGAGGCCGCGGGGGTTGTTGGCCTTGACACAGCCATGGAGCATAGAGTTCCAGGTTTTGATAGAGGGCCTGATGCCAATGCGTTCCATGTTGTTCCACACCCCGATGGCCTGCTGTGGCCGGCGCATCATGGTGTACGCTAGGATAAAATAGTCGAACATCTCGGGGCACTTGCCGAGCTCGGCGATATGGGCGGCATCGGGGGTGGCCTCATCACCCCAGAACTCCGACCAAGCATTGTCCACCATCCTGACATGCATACTCTTGATGGCATCTCCTAGCTGACGGTGCACACTAGCGTTGACATTGTCGGGCAGTTGCCCGGATGGGTCTAGAAAGGCATTAGCCTTGGCCTTTTTCTGCCGCTTGGGCCACACGAAGTGTGGGAGATCCAAAAAGGTGTCGAATATCGGTTGGAAGTCTTCGCGCCGGGGCGGCCGCGTTTGAAATATCAAACCCGTCATCATGTGAAGGAACGGCGCAGCCTCCCCCTTGGTGGCGCGGGCACGGCTGAAAGCGTCTGTCAAAAGCTTGTACGTTGCAAACGCAGCAAAGGTCGGCCTTAGTAAAGATGGGGTCAGGTACTGGGGGAACATGGCCCCGAAGGCCTGTTGGAGCGTGAGTTGTTGCGGAGGCTTTCCGATCGGGCGAGCCGGGCCGGTATTGAAGACGTTTGTGACTGGGGGTTTTGTCGAGGAGCCACCCTGCGCGGGAGACCTCTGCGAGCAGAACACGCGCCAGGCACCAAGGAGATCATGTACGAGGGCGTCTCGCCGCGCCATGGCGGTCTCGTAATCCTTAATCGAGTCGTACTTGTCAGGAACCGTGTTTTGTCGGTAGATGTGCTGGACCAGCGTGATCACGAGGGTAGCCCACGCGGCCGGCTTAAGGACGTCTAGCTCAAGCATGATCTCAGTGATGCGAGTGACGCTGGGTAGCCGGTTAGAGTCGAAATCCCGCGCCTTCTCGAGAGCTAGCCTGTTAAGGAGAACGGCAGCTATCTGGTTTTTGACAATCTGCGAGACCTCAGCGGCGCCCTCCTTCGTAATTTGAGGATACACTGTCTCCTGAAAGTATGTATATGCCTCGGCAAGGGTGGCGCCCTCCCTCATCATTGTTTGCATTCGGAGCACGTCCTTCACAAGTTCGAGGTTGGCCGTCCCAACGACCATGGTGCCGAAAGGAGGAGCCGCCTGAGCTTGGTTCTGTACGATGCTCTGGAACATGGCAACCGAAGGGGAGTGGCTGGACGAGATTGGGTGTCGAGGCGTGGAGTGCGGTGCGATGGAGGGCCGGTCAACCGACCGCTCGGCGCCCAAGCCTCCTCCATTGTTTGTTCGTATGTCAGTTCTCGCATCTTCGGCAGTAGCAGTGCCGCTAGAACTCGAGATGCCACGACGGGTTCGGGCACGGGATGTGACGAGTAGGCGAACCTGACAACGTAGGCAGACACTGCCTACGCTTCCCAGTTCGCGCATGGTTGTCGCAGGATTATTTGCCCTAGTCCAAGACCCGGCTTGTGGATATGGTGCATTTCGCGATAAGACTATCCAGGTTCGCAGTTGGTGTCGGCCCGGGTGACCATTGGCGGGAGGGTTGGGGCCCCGGGTTTGGGTGGAAGGTGTAGCTGCAGTTTGAGAAATCAAAAATCAAAAAGAGTGAGAAGCGTCGTGGTTGCAGTTGTTCCTATCTCGGCTCAAAATTTTGGAGACTCTGCTCAACGGCAATTGCCCCGAGTTGAGAGGTTGCACCCCAGAATGCCAAGCACCTGCCCCCACCAACATTCCATCGGACATCCCTTGTTAGGTGTTTCCGACGGGATCATGTGCGACGTCACTCGAGGGGACTCGAGCCAGGCCAGGCACCGGACCTGGGATTTCTTTCCCTTTCCTTTCTCAAAAGCTCCAACATTTCCACTTTTACTGTGTATTTAACACTGATGCCCCCCCCTCAACACCCTTAGCTAGAGTGCCTAGCCTAGGTAGTTTCCAGGCACAATTCCCTCCTCAAAAACTCTATAATAAAATTAATCTTGTGCAAAACCACCATGACAACTCTGGTCCCTCGCGCGCCCTACACGGATGATGAGCTCCGGAAGCTCTATCCGGACGGCCTAGAGCTGCAACTTGTGCAAGTCCTAATGCGCCATGGTGAACGCACTCCCGTCTCGGCTCGCTTCCAGAATGCCGGTTTGCAGCCCTGGTGGCCATATTGCGCCAGTGCCCGCCAGATGCGATCCGCCGTGCTCGCCTCGACCAACACCAAAGCCGACCATTCCTTTGATACCCTAGAATGGAAACGCCGTTTGGAAACCTTTGGCAACAATGACGAGCCAGTCATTGCTGGTGGCCCCAAGAGCCAGCTGGACGACATCTGTGACATGGGCAGCCTGACAGACCTCGGCCGGCAGAGCACTTACCAACTAGGCCTCCGTCTGCGCAAGCACTACGTCGACCGTCTTGGTTTTATCCCGTCCACCATAAGCTCGGCCGACTTCCTCTATCTGCGCTCCACCCCAGTTCCCCGTGCTCTGGAATCTCTGCACCAGACATTCTCGGCCCTATACCCGCCCTCCGCCCGCGAGGCCGACGCAACCGGCAAGTTCCCGGCCCCCACCATCCTCACCCGCGTACCCGGCGATGAGACCCTCTACCCCAACGATGGCAACTGCCGCCGGTTTGCCGCATTGTCGCGGGCCTTTGCCCAGCGCGCCGCCGACAGGTGGAACAAGACGCCGGACATGGAGTATCTCCAGAAGCTCTACGGGAAGTGGATGCCTCCGGACACCAAGGTTGCCGTGGACTCGCGCCCGCGGTTGTCAGGTATTATGGATACCGTCAACGCCACGCTTGCCCATGGACCCGAGACCAAGCTGCCCAGCGAGTTCTATGACGAGAAGGGGCGGGCCATCATGGAGAAGATCGGCGTCGAGGAGTGGTTCGCCGGGTACAACGAGTCGAAGGAGTACCGCATGCTGGGCATAGGAGGCCTGCTGGGAGACATTGTCGGCCGGATGGTTGGGAGCGTTGAGCAGCAGACAATTAGGGACGGGTCGCAGACGCTGCTGAAGAGGACGGGGCAGGGGAACCACAGCGACCGGATCCGGTTTGGCCTGAGCGGGTGCCACGACACCACGCTTGCGGGCGTGCTAGCGAGCTTGGGAGCGTACAACACGGACCGATGGCCGCCCTTCACGAGCCACCTCGCGATTGAGCTCTTCAGGGATGCCAAAATCCCGGCGCCTTCCCAGGAACCGGCCAAGAGTAGCTGGTGGGATTCGCTTGTTGGGACAACAAGAGCTCCAGCGAATATCGGGCGTCGGCCGACGACGGAGTTGACGGCGAGCGAGAAGAACAAGCTGGAAGGGTATTACGTGCGGATGCGCTACAACGATGAGCCCGTCACGGTGCCAGCTTGCAAGCTGCCAGGGAATCATCTCGAGGGCGACGAATCGTTCTGTACACTGGTGAGTTTCACATCTAGCTTGGCATTCGAGTCTAGATAGGTAACTGACCAAATCCAGGCCGCCTTCAAATCCGTCGTCGACAAATTCACACCGACAAACTGGAAGCAGCAATGCCGTATGAACAAGGATCAGCCCACTCTACCAAGGGGGGAGCCCGAATGGGCGGGCCATTAAGGGTTCGCATAGGGCTTATTCGAAAAGCCGTGCCTACATCTTTAACTATCATCATTAACATGGGGGTTGGGTCGGGAGGAAGACCGATTAATGAAGTAATGGGCAGGCTTTGGCTACCTTTCCTTTCGGATAGGTTGGAAATAGCTCAGCGTATATCGTGCGATTGGGCGCAAAGTCGAAGGAATAATGACGAGTCAGAGGACTCAGTAATGAAATCACCATTTTCAAAATCTTAGTATTGGACCCAAAGACTGTCCATTAGCGAGGTTATCGCACACCAGTCGTGGGGATATGATTTACACTTAGCTCCCAGTTCTCCGACGATCCCTAACGGCCATCGGCCCTATCACGCATTGACATCGACCTCCGCCATCTTCTCCTCTAGAGCCACAAGTTTCTTCTCCTCGGCCTTCTCCGCCTTGGCCCTCTTCTTCCTCGCCCTCCTCACTTCCAGCTCCACCGCCGCCATCGCGGTGCTGAGCGTCGCCAACCGTGGGATAATCTCTTCCACCGCTTTAATAGCATGTCCTTGGGCTTGTCGCAAGGGAAGCGGCGTGAGGATACCAAACCAGCGGAGGGGATCGACAGGCTTCGCCATTTCCTTTTCGCCTTCGCCACCGCCCGGCGCGGCCGCGTCTGAGGTTCCACCCTCCGGCTGCTTCTCCTTCACGTCCTCATCCCCATCCCCGTCACCCACAATAACCGGCGGCTCCGTACCAGATCCGTCCTCCACTCCCTCACCCCCAGCACCCCGTCCCGCGGGAGGAGGGTAGACCGCAACACGAAACACCACGCCCTTCCCTTCTTGCCCATTCCCCTCCCCACCGACCCCCTTTCCCACCCTCCCCAACCACACCCTCACCACCCTCCCCTCTCCACCCGAAGT